CATAAAAAAAAAAATATTAAAAAATAACTAAAAAAAATAGTGATAAAAAACCAAACGCCCCAAAACCCGCAAACCAGCCCCACCAGGGTTTCCCGCGCCCTGGGCCGGCGGTCGGATCGCAGCCTGGCGCTGCTTTGGCTCCGCTCCTTTCCAGGCCGCGGTGCGAAACGCCCGGAGCGACGCCTCCCAACGGCGGGAGGGGAGCAAAGGTTGAGGAAACGGAAGGAGAGAAAAACAGAAGCGGGCGCAGAGGCGGAGCTGAGCCCAGCCGTCAGCGCCAGCAGCGGGACGCCGATGCCCGGCTGTGCGCAGCGATGGCACGGAGCTCCGCGGAGCGCTCGCCTCTTCCTCCCCGTTGAGGCCACACGACGTCCCTGGGGGCCCCCAAACCAGCTCTGCTGGATTCCAGCTCCCAGCTGAAGCAAAAACCCGCCGCCTTCCTGCACTTACTGCTCCGTAGAAGGTGGGGTTGAGGTCGGGGACGAACATCTCGGGGTAGACGTTCTGCAGGTACCAGGTGAAGTTCTTGCAGTGCAGCCGCTCCCTCAGCCTGCGCCGTTCTGTAATGTCACCATACGTCTTCTATCGGCAAAGGCACGTGAGAAAATTAAACTGACCTCCGGAGCCGGCAGGAAATCCCCCCCTCCAACCCCTCATCCCCCTCCAAGGCCAAAAGCTCCGTCCTCCCCCCCATTGCAGGACCCCAATGGGCACCAGAGCAAAGCTGAGCTGTGGCAAAACGTTTTGTTGGGGTTAAAAAAAAAACGTGGCTAGAAAGCGTTACGGCCCAAAGGATGTATTTTCCTTGGTTGTGTTTTCCCACCTGCATTTGATTTCATTGCTCTAAGCTGAGCCTGCAGAGCTTTTGCACCTCCTGTTGATCAGACCCAAGTTCTGGGCAGGAGCTCAGACCTCAGGATCCCACAGGAGGGGCTGGAGCTGGATGGGTTTTAAGGACTCTTCCAACCCAACTGTCCTATTATTCTATGACCTTTCAGGACCTTTCCAACCCAACTATCCTATGGCTCTATGACCTTTCAGGACCCTTCCAACCCAACTATGGCTCTATGATCTTTAAGGACTATTCCAACCCAACAATTTCAACATTCAATGGTTCTAAGATCTTTAAGGACCCTCCCAACCCAACCATTCCAATATCCTATGGCTCTATGATCTTCAAGGACCCTTTTAACCTGACCATCCTACGGTTCAGTGATCTTCAAAGTCCCTCTCAATCCAATCAACCCATGGCTTCATGACCTTTCAGGACACTTCCAACCCAACTATCCTATGGCTCTATGATCTTTAAGGACCCTTCCAACCCAATTATCCTATGGTTCTATGATCTAAAGAGGACCCAAAGTTCAGTGATCTTCAGGGACACTTTCAACTCAAACCATCCTACAAATTCTACACTCTTTAAGGTCCCTTCCCACCCAAGCCACCCAAGGATTCTATGACAGCAAGACCACTGCTGGTGTGCAGGTACCTCTCTGGCCATCTGTGCAGCCTGTTGGTTCCTCCTGTAGAAGATCTCTTTGTAGTCATCCATCCAGACCTCAGCCAAGCGGACCTGGTTCCTGGAGATGACCTGCGTGCCCTTGGGGAAGGTGTGGGGGCTCTTGGAGCGGAAGACGTGGCCCACGACAGAGCAGGGGATGATTTCCAGCTGACCCCCACACTGCCAGACCTGCAGGGATGAGACGTGGGGGCTGAGCAGCCCCGGGATCGAGGACATCCCCCAAAGCAGTGCTCTGAATTCTGTGCCCCCTCGGCCTCACCCTGAAAGACATTTCCACGTTCTCTCCCCCCCAGATCTCCATCTGGTCGTCGTAGGAACCGATGTGCTCAAAGTATGACCTGGAGATGGCAAAGAGACCACCGGCGAAGGTCGGGGACCTACAGGACAGGGAGAAAACATAAGGCTGGAGGGCCTCCATCTGCAGAACAGGTTAAGAAAACACCAAAACGCAGATCTGAATTTCAGGGGACACCACGGAGGGTGGCACTGGGCAGCAGCAGCCTCCCCTCAACCAGCTGCATGCCAGCCCCAGATGTGATCCCTCGTGCTCCCATGGCCACAGCAGAGGGCACCACGGGGACGGAGCCACTGCCAGCAGGGGACAGCAGGAACACAGGGCAGCACGGCACCGAGGGGCCTCACTCTGTTGCCTCAGGATCCAGGGCAAAGCACAGTGGATTTGATTACAGAAAACCTATCGCAGCAAAGAAAGGCAGAGATTAGCTCGGTGACCAGGCACCCCATTCACTCCTCTGGCTTTTCTAATCTGCTCTATCTGATCTTTAGAAGAGGGAGGCTGGAACAGAAACTTGCTTTTATTCAAGGGGGAGAAAAAAAAAAATAAAATATGAGGACAAAAAGGAGCTCGCTGAACAGCCACGTTCCTGCAGAGAGGAGCGGGGAGAGATGAGACGCTGCTGGGAGCCAGCACAGCTCACAGAGAAAGGGACCTTTATAGGGGCCAGGACGTCTCCCGGGTGACCTCTGCACAAAGCCAGTCCTGCTGGACAGGATGCAGCCGCAGCCAAACACAGTGTCAGGTATCCCCACACGGCTGAGGGGCTCAGCAGCCGGAGGAACCCCATTGCCAATGCAGGGACACTGGGCTCCCAGAGCTGAGGCTGTCAGTGGGCAGTTATGTTATTATTATTTTTAGTTTTTATTTCATTTTTCCTAGGAGAAAGCCCGTTTTTCTGGATGCTTTCTGTCAGCTCCTGCAGCACACAGCTCCATGGCACTGTCAGTGTTTTCACAGCTTAACCAACAGCTGCATGGAGCAATGGTGGGGTGAACAACAGATCGACTTCGGGGGGCACAAACCAACACCTCAAGCATCCTTCCTGCACCTGCTGGTGTCCCTGTCTGCTTGCTGTGGGCTCAGCTTGCTGCCTGCAGCCAATGCTGCAAATCAGCTGCAAACAGCCCCAGCACACCCAGCAAAGGGTTTGTTTTTGCTGCACAACCCCATGGGGAGCAGGGAGCTCTGCAGCCGTGCTCACGCACTGTAGCCTGCAAACAGGGCAGCGTGCTTTGGTGCTGGGGGGCTTCTTTGCTTGCAAAATTGGGTTGGAAGGGAAGGAAAAAAAAAAAAAAACAAAGAAAAGAAAATCAGTGCAGCCCAACCCACAGGTAGCATCCTGCTCACCGCTCTGCCAGCTCAGCACCACCCCATGCCCAGGTAGCAGGCTCTGAGTGCAAGAAGAGAAAAGGCAGCAATTAATCCCTTAACGAGAGACTTTGCAAGAACTGAGATTTAGCTGGATCTGGAAGCACCTGAGGAGTGCTATCCTACATTTGTGTCTGTAGATTCACCGAACCTACACTGAGGTTTCCCTCCCTGCCCAAGCATCAGCTGCCAGAGAGCTCCTGGCCCCAGAACCCATGGGGAAACTGTGCTGGGAATGTAAAAAGTCACAAAGCAGCAAGAAAAATGACAGCTCCAGGCCCCCACAATCCCTGGAACCTCCATGGGGGGTTCGCCGAACAGTTCCCTGTCTGCTTGAACTGGGTCCAGTGCTCCAGATAGGGTCTCCCCAGTGCAGAGCAGAGCAGGGAGCACCTCCTTCACCCTGCTGGCCATGCTCTGTGCAGTGCCCCACAGGGAACCATTGGCCCTCTTGGCCACTGGGGCTGGCTCGTGGTCAACCACTGGCCAACTGTTGGCCAACCATCAGTCAACCAGGACATCATTGGAGTTCTCAGCCACTGGGGCACGCTGCTAGCTCACGGTCACCCCGTTTGTCAACTCTTGGTCAAAGAGAACTCCACTGGCCATCTTGGCTACCAGGGCAGACTGCTCACTCATGGTCACCCTGTTGGCCAGCCAGGACCCCAAGGTCCTTCTCTGCAGAGCTCCTTTCCAGCAGCTCAGCCCTTGGCCCTCACTGGTATGTGCAGTTGTTGTTCCTCAGGTGTAGGGCTCTACATTGGCACAGGGAGGATGAAACACCCCATGCTCAGGCTTACTTGATGGGGACAGTCTCGTCCTTCCTCCTCTGCCTCTCACGGGGTGGCACGACCTCCCATCCAAAGGTGAGACTCCAATCGAAATTGCCCCGGCTGTGCTGCTTGCCATACTGCACTGGCTTGGAGAACTCGAAGGTGTTGAGGTCTATGGTGGTGATGTCAGGACTGACGACAGCCGTGGGCTCCTCGGCGATGCGGGACAGGAGGGGCTCCAACCACCCGTGGAAGCACTCACCTGGAGCACAGGGAAGGGTGAACCGACCTCACCGGCATCGCTTCAATGGGATGCGCCAGGACTGGGGGCTGCATCCCAACCCCAGGGGCACCCAGAGGGTGGTGGGGAGGTGGACACTCACAGTGTGCATCCAGGAAGGTGAGCACCTCGCCGCTCGCCACGCTGGCTCCCAGCAACCGGGCCGTGATCAGCCCCTTCCTCTCCACCTGCCGCACCACCCGCACAATCTGCAGCTGCTTCACGTAGCGGTCCAACTTGTCCTTCAGATATTCTGGGGGAACAGAAGAGGGTGGACAGCCTCAGGGTGAGCTCAGCCCCTGCTCCTCACCCCCGCCAGCACATCGAGGTCCCCACAGCGAGGGAAGGGGCGTCCCTGCTCTCATTTGCACCCTGCAACAAGGTGGGGGTGACACAAGTCCTCCCCATTCCCGGAGCCTGAGGGGTTTTTGGTTGCTAAAAAAAGAACCATTATGACCAAAAAAAGATCTTTATGACCACCCAGTCCAACCATCAGCCCATCCCCACCGCGTCCTCTAAACCACGTTCCTAAATCGAATCATAAAGGTTGGAAAAGACCTCGAAGGTCATCCAGTCCAACCACCAACGAAACCCCACCATGCCCACCAAATGAAGTTTGCAATTTTGCCCCCACCAAGGAGTGATGGGGGGAAAAAGGGCTCTTGGCTCTGCGGTTAAGGCACCAGTATGACTACACAGAATTTCATCACTGAGGAATGGATGAGGAGGGCTGTCCTGGGCTCAGGTTTGGAGCAGATCCGCCTAACCAAAGGAGGGGTTTGGGAAGGGATACCCAAAGTGTTCGGCAGAGAGCTGGACACCCCAGAAGAGACCCAAAATCTCAGGGGCACCCAAACCGTGTCCCCATCACAAAGTTCCTGGCTCCACGCTTGGCTTTTCCAAGGATTTCTCCTAGCATCTCCCGCCCCGCCCATGCCTGCACACAGCCAGGCCACAACTTCTTGGCCAAAACACAACCCGGATCTCACTGGGGCAGAATGGGAACCGCCACCCAGGTCACCCCGCACCGTGAGTGCACGGGGATGAGCAGTGCTCAGGGCAGAAAACCCAGCAGAGAGCAGAGTGCTGTGTGAGAAAGCACCACCACAACTCTCCCTGGGATGCTGCACGCTGAGCAACGCGCCGCCCTGCCCCAGGAGATGCTTCAGGTGCAGAAATCCCTTTATTTTCCAGGTGCAGCACACACAGCTTTACGCACCCTGGGAGGCGGAAGCAGAGCACGAGGGTAAAGTCTGCTTCTCTCCCAGCACCTCGCCATGCCATTCGTTTGCTTTGGGTGGAACTCATTAGCGAGCCATGTAACGAGGTATGACGTGGGATGAGCAGCTGGGCTTCATCCAGATGGAATAAAAAACCCAACAGCGGCTCCAGGCAGTAGGAAACGATTCAGAAAAGCCCAGGAGCGTTTTGTTCCCCATCTTGCAGCCCCATAACAGCCCCATAACAGCCCCACACACCATCCGTGCTGGCGTCGTCCACCAGGATGATCTCCCTGAGCAGGGCAGCAGGCGAGGCGTGCAGGACGCTGTACACCGTGCGCAGCAGCGTGGACCACGCTTCGTTGTGGAACACGATGACGACGCTGGTGGTGGGGAGGGGAGGGCAGCGCTTGAACTTCTGGTCGATGCACCTAGGGGAGGGGAGGATAAAAAAAACCCAAAACAATAAAAGGGAAGAAAAAGCAGAATTTATCGCGGCTATGCACCAGGCATGAAGAAGCAGCGGGGTTGGCGTGCCGGAACAAAACGCCGCCGTCCCCCACCACGGTGTTTCGCACAGGGGGGCAGCAGCACCGGCAGCCCCTGCAGCTCTGCCTCTTTGATTTCCATTGGGTTTACCTCTTTCCTCCCCCTCCCTTTGCCCCCGTCGCCTCCGGTCCAGTGAATGACATTCCCATCCCACCCCGACCCGGTGTTCCCCCTTTGTGACCGCTACACCTGCTAGGCACGGATAATCGCCGGCCGACGCGGCTTCTCCCTCCTATTCAGAGCTTTTTTTTCTCCAGGATCCCCCCCCCCCCAACCCCCCCCCCGACCAGGCAGGGGCTGGGGGCACACTCTAATCCGGGCGGGCGGTGCTGAAGCCGCTTCCTTCACCCCCTGCCTGGGGCTGTTCCACTCCGCTAAGAAAAGAAAAAGTCAGCTTAGGGCTGGGCTGGAAGAAAGGAGGGGAAGGGGGGAGATGCTGGAGCCTGGAGCAGGTACACAAAGAGCTGCTGTGCCATTTCACCCGCTGCAATTACAAATCAAGCATAAAGCAGACAGAAATCGAGAAGAAATTGGGTATTCCCAAGGTGCCAGGCCCACCCAAAAGTGGTTTGCAGCCTCTTTGCTGGGCTGATGCATCTGGTGGCGCACGGGGCTGCTGCAGCACGAGGGCATGGAGCTCCTGCAACAGGCAGCTGCACGGAGAGTGCATGGAGCTCATGCTATGGGCAGCTACAGAGCAAAGTCATGGATCTCACGCAACGGGGAGTTGCATGGAGCTCTTGCAGCAGGCTGCTGCATAAAGCATCCACAGAGCTCCTGCAGTATGCTGCTGCAGAGCAAAATTGTGAAGCTCCTGTGCTGGGCTGCTGCACGGAGAGCGCATGGAGCTTCTGCAACAGGCAGCTGCACAGGGAGCGCATGGAGCTCCTGCAATATGCTGCTGCAGAGCGAGGGCACGAGCTGCAGGCCCAACTCTGCTTTGATTTCCTCTTAACTTCGCCTGAACGGAGCCGAGGAGGCCGGCACACTTTTGGGAGGAGGGGGCTCTTACTCCGGAGGGCGGCTGTCGGGTCCCAGCGCACGCTGCAGGGAGATGCGGTCACTGGCGAAGGCGTTGAAGCAGTGCTTCTCGTAGCCCCGCTCCTTCTCCTTGCTCTCCTCTGCCGTCCACTGCTCTTTCTTGAAGGCTTTGCCATCAGCCCCGGGCCCGGAGGGGTCCTGGGGGGGTCGTTCCAGCAGCGGGCGCAGCTCTGCTGCCGTGTAGAAGCCGGGAGGACAGGAGCGGGAGCTGTGGGGCGGCTCCTCCGGGGGCACCGGGGCCCCGATCTGCAGCTTGGGCATGGAGTCACGGAGGTTGTGCACGGCGCCCAGCATCAGGTCGATGACCTGGTCCTTCCCATCCACGATGTTCTTCAACCAGGGCTCCTCGCGCGGGTCGCCGTCCCCGACGTCCCTCTGTAGGATGAAGAGGAAGAGGAGGAAGACGGCGCCCACCAGGGCCACCTTCAGCGGGCTGTAGCGGCGGCGGAGCAGCCTCATGCTGTCTGCAGGAGCTGTGGCGCACGGCTCAGGGTCGGGGGGTCCGTGGGGGCTTCATGGCTCCGTTAACCTGGAGGGGAGAAACACACAAGGGGTTAATTCACCCCCCCATGCAACGTGCAAAGCTGTCAGCGGAGCAGCCCGGCGTCATTGGAGAGCAGCGCCTCTCCCAGGGCTCTTCTCATCACCTGCACCCGGCAAACCCCCCCTGGAACAGCTGAAACGGGTTGGAAGGAGGCTGCAAGACGCAAACCAAACCGCCAGCCCCAGCGGTGCGACCCTGCAAGCCCTGCAGGCAGCAGAAGGATCAACGCGGTGTGCGACAAAGCTAAAACATCAACAAAAAGTTTACTCCAACACTTGGGATGCAAGGACAGTGCCTTCCCTCGGGCACTTCTCCTGCTTGGGAAGGAGGATGAGTGCAGATCTCTCCGAGCTGTGCTATCTAGGAGCAGCAATCCCAGCACCCGGGGCTCTGCCCCATCCGCCGACCATTCCTCCCCGCTGCTCTTTGTGAGCCGCTGCCACCGGAGCATGGAGAAGCTCCGCGGGAGCCATTCACCGCCATCTCCTCCTCCTCCTCCTCAGGATCAACCCCCCCCCGCCCCCGACCGTGTTTTTTTTTTTTCTTGGTTCGGAAAGAGGGGAAACAGCTCAGTCCCCCCTTCCCCCCCCCAGCACCCCGCTGTCAACTTCAAGGGCAGGGAGCTCAGTGCGGGGTCCCCATTCTTCCACGGCCCCATGAGGTTTAGGGGCGGGGGGAGAGCAGCGATGCGCTATAGGGGAGGGGGACACTCCGCCTCCGGGTCAGCGCTTTCAGTGCCCGTAGGGCTGCGGGATCACAACGCCGGCGATCAGACAGCGCGACGTGAAATAAAGCCCGACGTGAAAGGAAAAAAAGCAGAATGAAGGGGGAGAAAAAAAAATAAAAATCAATCTCCGCTCAACCCCCCCCTCCCCCCCAGCCCCCCGGATCTCTGCTCATACATTGTTTCTAATCTGAGCTCCCTCCCCCCACAGCTTCACCTTCAATGTTCCTGGAGCTCTGTGCAACGAGGTGAAGGCAGCGTCGGTGCAGAGGAGGAACCCCAACTCCACCCTCCCCAGTCCTCCTGCTGGCCCCATTGCCTTGATCGCGCTAACGAGCACCTCGTTATCTGCTAACGAACCTCAGCGCAGCACCCTGGGGAAGGTGCACAGCAGCTTCAGCCCCGAAAGGTCCATCCCTCGGGGGAGGGGGGGGGGAGAGGGGGGAAGAAGGGGTCCTACCCTGAACCACCGCCCCATCTCCTTCCCTAAAAGCCGAAAAAAGAAGCCCCCCCCCCACCCCCAAAGCAGTAATCCGCTCCCTCGGCGCTGCCATCTCACAGCAGCCCTTCCCCAAAACTCTCCTTTCCTTTCCCACTAAAGTCCCGAACGCGTTTGGGCGGGGGAGGGGGGGTTTCACGGGGCCTCCGTAGGAACCGCACCGAAACGTGGGACTTTCCCCCCCCCCCCCCCCCGCTTCCCCTCCCCGTGTCCCATAGGAGCGCGGTGACATCGTGACAAACTCCCGCAGGGCTGAGTCACCCGCAGGGCGCGTCTCGGGGGTGGGCCACGAGGACATTTCCAGCCCAGCACTGCACAGCCCCTTCCCAAGGTTCAGAGCCACCACCGACCCCCCTCTCCCCCCTCCCAGAGCCTCCCTTGGCCACCCCAACCCCAAAAACTCCCTAGACCACCCCAAAACCGTCCCCAGGATGCACGCAGCAAGAGCAACACGTGCAAGCTGTTCGGAGAGAGAGTTATTGAGCCTGTTGCATTCAAAAGAGGTTTCAAAGGAAGGAAAACAAACAAACAAACAAACAAAAAACAAAATAAAAGAGAGAAAGAAGAAATAAACGGGGGAAAAAAAGGGGATTTAGGGCAAAGGGTCACCAACACGGTCACAGCCACGGGTGGCAGCAGGACAGTGCCCACGTGATGGGACAGCTGCTTCCTCCTTGGTGACAGAGGGAGGAACCCCAGAGGCTGAACTAGAGATGTTCTCTCCCTTCCCCACCCCCAGAAATAAGCAGTAGTGGGAGAACAGCAAAACGATGACGATGATCACAGAAAGTAAATAAAAAGGCAGAGGCATCAACGCAGCACGGAGCACGGCCTCACCTGACACCACCCTCGGCTCCACGTGGCAGCGCGGCCACGTTGGTTGGGGTGCCAAGGATGTTTGGGAAGGCAAAAAGCCAAGAGATGCAGCAGCCCCACACGGGTGGGATTTCCCCTTCCCCCACATCATCATGGGAGTGCGATGGCACGTCTTTAATTCTGAGCAGATTGGGAAAAAGGGAGCAATGCTGGGGGGTAGGAGAGGGCGTGAGTGCTGTGGGAGACCCCAAAGATGCAATAGGGTGGAAATGGGACTGGGATCAGGGAGTGGGGCATGAAGGCTGGGGACCCAGTACTGGGAAAGAAGACTAAAGGCTGAGACCAGGACCTGGACTCAAGACCACAGGACTGAGACAGGGATCTGAGGATCAGGGAATGGGATCCATGACCAGAGAGTTAAGACTGGGACCAGGAATGGGATTGATGATCAGAAAAGGAACTGAGCACCGAGGTCTGGGACCAGGGAATGGGACCTGAAGATCAGGAACACAAAGGAAGAAACTGGGGGTCTTAAAGACCAGGTGCCTGGGGGACCCAAAGACTAGACTGGGGACCTGGGGTATGAAAAGATTATGGGCCTGATGGAACCCCAAAGACCAGGGACCCAGGATACCCCAAAAACTGGGAACTGGGGACCCGAAAGACTGGGGGAACCAAATAGCAGAGACCCAGAGGGGACCCCAAAGATCAGGATCAGGGGAACCCTGAAGACTGAGGACCCCAAAGACCAGGGACCCAGGAGGGACCTCAAAGACTGAGGACTCCAAAGACTAGGGACCCAGTAGACTCCAAAGATTGGGACGAGGGGGACACCAAAGACTGGGGATACCAAAGACCAAGGACCTGGGAGACTCCAAAGAGTGGGACTGGGGGCACCCCAAAGGCTGAGGACCCCAAAGACTGGAACTAGGGAGACCCAGAGGACCCCAAAGACCAAAGAACTCTGAGGATCCAAAAGACCGAGGGCCCCAAAGGCTGGGATCCCAGGGGGACCTGAAAGACTGGGGACCCCATGGATGGGAGACCTGGGAGACCCCAAAGACCGGGACTCAGGGAGATCCCAAAGACAGGGGACCCCAAAGACCAGGACTCAGGAGTGTTGCAAAAAGTTCAGACCCCAAACACTGGGGACCCAAGGGGACCCCAAAGACCAGAGACCCCAAGGATGGGAGATCTGGGGGACCCCAAAGACTGGGGACCCCAAAGACTACGGACACAGGAGACCCCAGACCGGGGACAGGATCAGAGACAAAAAACTCAGATCCAAGGCAGGACCGGGACTGAAGACCCAAGACTGAGATTGGGACCAGGACCGAATTCTGGAACGAGGAACCAAAATCCGGGAACCCAAGACCCGGACCGAGCACAGCGGATCTGAGACCGGAACCCGAAACAAAGACCGAAAATCGGGACCGAGCGAGCCGGACTCAAGAGCGGGACGGAGATTCCAAACCGGCACCAAAAACACGAAAACCGAAACCCACAAACAGCCCCAAACGACCCCCACTCACCGGCTCCGGAGCGGCGGCGGCCGCGGGTTCGGGGCCGCAGGTGCCGTCCGGGGGGCGGGGCGGGGGGCGGGGATGCAGCCGGTACCTGCCTCGCCCCGGGGCTCAGGTGAGCACCGCCAGGTCCTAACGCCGTCCTCAGCAACGGAGGAACGGGGATCGTAAGGGATCCAAAGGCTGGTGGTGGGAGTCCGGAGGTTGGTTGGGGTTTATAGGGGATATAATGGGGGATGGGCTCGAGGTGAGGCCCTGGGGGGGGGGGGGGGGTTGGGGAGAGGCTTGGTTGCTGTGGGGTGGTAGGGGTTTGGGTGGGTTGACATCAGGGTGCTGGGAGTGGCTGGTGTCCTCTAAGGGAGTGATATGGGAGGTGTGGGGAATGAAGGGGATGTGAAGGGGACAATACGGGGTTTTGCACTTGGGGTGGAGTAATCCCAGATACAGAATCACAGAGTCACAGAACGGTTGGGTTGGAAGGGAGCTCCAGGATCATGGAGCTCCAACCCCCACCAATGCAGGGCCACCAACCTTCACATTTCACAGCAGCCCAGGCTGCCCAGGGCCCCATCCAGCCTGGCCTCCAACACCTCCAGGGATGGACAGGGCATCGCAGCCTCTCTGGGCAGCTGTTCAGCACCTCACCGCTCTCACAGCACACAACTTCCCTGACATCCAACCTCCGTCTGCCCTCCCTCAACTTCATTTCCCCTCGTCCTGCTGCCATCTCCCCTTGCACAGAGCTGCCTCCCCTCCTGGCTGCAGACTCCCTTCAGGCACTGCAGGCTGCACTCAGCTCACCCCCAGCTTCTCTTCTCCATGCTGAACGAGCCCAGCTCCCTCAGCCTGGCTTTGCAGGGAGGTGCTGCAGCCCCTGCTCATCTCCAGCTCCTCTGGACCCTCTCCAGCAGCTGCCTGCCTTTCCTGTCCTGGAGGCTCCAGCCCTGGATGCCGTGCTGCAGATGGGGCCTCACAAGAGCAGAGCAGAGGGGGATGATCACCTCCCTGTCCCTGATATACGTAGAGACTCCCTGCAGAGAAGGACCTGGGGGTCCTGGTAGGTAAAAGACTGAACGTGAGGCAGCAGGTTGCTCTTGCAGCTCAGAAGGGCAATGATTCCTCAGAATGGGATCCTATGCTCCATCAGCAGGGGGGTGGCAGTGGGACAGGGAGGGGATCATTCCCTACTACTCTGCCCTTGTGAGGCCCCATCTGCAGCGCTGCATCCAGGTCTGGAGGCCCCAGTAAAAGAAAGACAGAGAGCTGTTGGAGAGGGTCCAGAGGATGAGGAGAGGACCATGAAGATGCTCAGAGGGCTGGAGCACCTCCCCTATAAAGACAGACTAAGGGATCTGGGCTTGTTCAGCCTGGGGATGAGAAGGCTGCAAGGGAACCCCATTGCAACCTTCCAGTATTTAAAAGGGGGTGATAAAAAGGAAGGGAATTGATGTTTCACAAGGGTAGGCAGCGATAGGACAAGGGGGAATGGTTTTAAGGTCAAGGAGGGAGGGGTTAGATTGGATGTTGGGGAGAAGTTCTTTACTATGAGAGTGGTGAGGTGCTGGAACAGCTGCTCAGAGAGGCTGCGGATGCTCCATCCCTGGAGATGTTTGAGACCAGGTTGGATGGGGCCCTGGACAACCTGGGCTGGTGTCAGATCTGGAGGGTGCTGGCCCTGCCTGTGGCTGGGGGGTTGGAACATGATGGTCTTTGGGGTCCCTTCCAACCCAAGCCATTCTGTGATTCTTTGAATAGGACCCATAGTGACCTTACAGCCATGTGCTGGGAATGAGAGGCCGGTCGAGGTCATTGAGTCCTATAGAGGCCATAGGGCCTATCATAGCCTGGCACCAGTGTGCTGGGAATTACCAGTCTGGAGACGCCATAGGGGCCTGGAGAGGTCATAGGTGCCTATAGAGGCCACAGAGACCTATAGAGGCCATAGGGGAGTGATAAAGACCTATAGAGGCCATAAGGACCTGTATATACCATAGGGACTTACAGAGGTCGTATGAGCCTGGAGAGGTCATAGGGGACTGATAGAGACCTATAGAGTCCATAGGGACCTATAGAGGTCAATAGGGGCCTGGAGAGTCCATAGATGCCTATAGAGTCCATAGGGGCCTATAGATGCCAAAGGGACCTATTGATGCCATAGGGACCTATAGATAGGGGCCCGGAGAGGCCATAGGTGCCTATAGAGGCCATAGGGGACTGATAGAGACTTATAGAGGCCATAGGGACCTATAGGTGCTTGTACGGGCCATAGGGGCCAATGTGGGGTGCTGAGACCGAGCGAAGCTCTGAGCCCAGGTGTGCCCTCCCTACTTGTGCTCAGTCCTCGTCCTACCTCATATTTGTTATTATTCTCACTGTTAATTACTCTGGCTCTCCAAAGCCTCCCTCACCCGTAGCTCAGTGGTTGCACTGTGCAGCAGTGTGAACCCTAAGGTCATTTTTATCAGGCTGTGATAACTGCTGGCAACGTTTCTTTGGGTGGCTGGACACGCAGCCCGTCGAGGCTGGGATTTGCTAATTGCTCCCATCTCTGTCATCCTTATTCACCCTCTGTCTTCCCGCTGAACTCCTGATGGTGTCACTTTGCTGCTCTCCAGCTGTGCTGCTACAGGGCTGCTTGTCCCTGCAGCCTGGGATGGAGCACAGCCCCAGCTCTGAGCACCCCATGTCCTTATCCTCCAGCCCCACGTTTAACACTAGGTGGTGGTATCACCATGAAGATTCCAGCTGAGGCCGGGTGGCTGCTATGGCAGGGAAAGTCTCTGCTGTACTGAGAACTCCACGTTAAAGCTGAATTGGCTTTAAGGTCCCTTCCAACCAGAGCCCTTCAGTGGTCCTGTGATCTTTAAGGACTCCTTCCAACCCGAGCCCTTCAATGGTTCTATAATCTTTAAGGACTCTTCCAACCCTAAGCCATGCTGTGATTCTATGATTCTGTGGTAGAGATGGTGTGAAAGAATTGTTTGTAGCCCCTCTGGAGGATGTGGTTTGAACAACATGGCAGGTGTAGGCACAGGCAACCCCATCAGCAATGGATTCCGATGCGTGGAAGAAAATCATAGAATCACAGAACTGAAAACGTCCCCTAAGACCATCCAGCCCAACTCCAACCCATCCCACCACGCTCACTGACCACGTTCCCAAGTGCCACCCCGACAGCCCACCACCTCCCTGGGCAGCCTGTGCCAATGCTTGGCTGCTTTTTCAGACAAAGCAGAGGATGAGAATCTCCTGAGTCTTCTGTGCATCCCAGCAGTGGTTGAGATGCACAGAAGGGCAGAGGAGCGCGAGGGAAATGCCAGTGGGGAAACCCCAGGGGCCTCTCCAGGCTCCTGAAGGCAGGAGGCACGAATACTGGGAGGGTTTTAATCTCCTGCTGAGCATTTTGTGTTGGCTCCCATGCTGTATGGAGGATTTGAGGGATTTGAGCTGGGGTGGAGTGAGAATTACTTTGGATTATTGGGATGTGAGGTTGAATATTAGCTGCCTTACGGAGGATAAGTCGGGCAGGGCTTTGAGGCAGATGTGCAAATCCCCAACACATTAAAGCACCAACACGTTCCTTGAGAAGGGCAGGGGGAAACCGAGGCACAGAACAGACGACGGCTTACCTGGCACGGAGCAGAGGAGAGCCCAAACTCACCGCCGTCGGCCTTCAGCATCGCCTCCCGGATTCTTGAGAGCTAATTTTAAAGCCCTGGGTTTGCTGCCTGTAATTCACTGCTGCTATATTTCCTGTCTCTCTGCCGTGCTGAGGTTTCGCTCTGAGCACTGAAAAACTGAAGGGAAATTCCCTGCCCCGGATTTTTCTGTTAGAGAAACTTTTTCAGTTGCGCCCAGAGGCCGATTCTGAGCTGTGGCCACCAGGATTGGGGCAGGAGAGCCCCCCACCACTGTAAGTGTGCTCCCCAAATTGCAGCCCCGGGGCTTCACGGGGTCCCCGTTGGGTTATATGGAGAGGTGTGGGGTGGGGGTCGGGATTTTTGCTGTGTTAAAGCAACCCCATTCCCCAGCACCAGGGGAGAACGTGGGTCGTGCCCCTCTGAGCCCTGATCATCTGCGTCCCCAGTTGCTTCTTTAATTGCAATTTGGGAAATGCTTCTCCGGGTTACACAGGAGGTTAAGATCTCCCGTCCCCTTAATGACAAAGTGGTAATTTGTGGGGAAATTAAGACGTGGTTAACTAGTGAGAAGCCAGCAGGGCTCGTTCAAAATCAATATGGGCTTGTTGGGAATGGCAGCTCCGAGTCACACACGTCTTAATAATTAATTGGCACGGTTATATATAACTCCTAGACAAAATATATCCTCTTAATCTTTAATTAGTTAGCTGCTTTGCAGGTTTTGTGTGCTTGGTTTTCAAGAATCAGCGGGGGCCCAAAGAGCTGAGAGCGCGACGCAGCTCCCATCACAGCTCGTTTTGGGGTGAGGAGCACAGAGAGCCCTGTGCTGCAGGCGACCTTGCCGCGGTGTCTGCAGTTCTCTTGGTGCTGGGAGCGTTCCCTTCAGCTCCACTGGGATTTTTGCCCTTCATCCCTCTTGGCTTCCCACGTTGCTCTGGGTGGTGGAGGAGTTATCCCCAAAGCCATCAGCTGAGCCCCTAATTACAGCGCCGGGGCTTAAATTCGCAGCGCTGAGCGGTGGCGAGGCTGGAAAATATGACAGGAAGCAAAGCTGATTTGCATGTTTATGCTAATTGCGATTGCACAAATCTTTCAAATCAAAGCGTGCGTTGCAGATGGCTTGCAGATTTACACCACGCTTTGGCTTTATTTATTATCTTTCAGACTGGTAATAATTGGTGCAATATGGTAAAACTGGAAAGCCTAATCCACAATACAGCTGTTAAAGCGAGGAGAAATGCGCTGAACACAGCGTGGAGAGGTTATTTTTCGTGGTGACAATATTTGGCTAAAGCAAACCTTGTGGGCACGAGCTGGATTTTCATGTGGGGTGTTTTCAGGAGCAGAATAGGGCAGCTCAGGGCTGAGTGACTGAAGAAATGGGAGTTGTGCCCCCATGCTTGGACCTCTTTCCCCTTTGGGGTTCATTGCCAGGAGTTTGTTTGCTCTCACACCGCTGCAAACAAACAAACAACAAAAAAAAGAAGTTATTTCTCCAAATCATGGAATCACAGCTTATCTGGGGCTGGAAGGGCTCTTAAAGATCACAGAACCTTGAGATGATTGGGTTGGAAGGTCCTTCAAGATCATAGAACCGTAGGATTGTTGCTTTGGAAGGGTGCTCACAGCCCCCCAGCCCTCTCCCTGCTCCGGACAGGTCCAATCCCTCCATCAGGAGGCCTTGAACTTCTCTCCACTGTGGGCTGAGAGATGGAGAAGTCCAGCTCAGCAGTTGGGTTATCCCCTGCTTTGGACAGCATCACTTCCCTTTTCAGCTTTTTTTTCTTTTAAATTGCAAGAAAACTGCAACCACGACTTCTTTCCATCACAGTGAAACATCGACATCTCCAGAGATCCCGCAGCAGGACGGAGCACCGTGCTCCCCATCGCCACGTCCCCTCCTTGCTGCCTTGCTTCCTCCCTGACCAGGTGTGATGGAAATGGGTGAAGTTTTCCTCCAGCTGTGCCAGGAGGTGGCCAGGCTGCGGGAGCTGTGCTCCAGGCAGAGCGAGCTGCTGCAGAAACTGAGCGCCAGGAAGGGCCCCGTTGTGGGTGAGCAGTGGGGCTGGGGATGGGGGGAGGTCGTGCTGAATTGCTCCTTCACTGCAAAGAGCAGATACAGGCTGATGGGAGGGGATTTCAGCCTTTAACCTCATGCTGCTGAGAGGTTTGCTGCCAAAAAGGGTGTAATGAGGAAGCTGGCTGCAGGCACAGCTCCCTGTGCTGGCTGTCACGGTGTTTGGGCTTTGCCTTTGCCACCCAATGCATGGCCACGTGTGTGGGTCTGCTGAGAGCCACGCTAAGACACCCCAGGCTGTGATTTACTCTGGGAAAAGCAGGGAGGAGCTGTGCCAGATGGTGCTGATGGCCTGGAGACTTTTTGGGAAGCAGGCATGGCTGTGGTGCGGCCTCCAAGGGCTGCACATTGCCCATGCAAATGCTCTCACCCACCCCAGCAGCCTGCATGGCTATCCAAGCCATGGCCCTCCTATTCCCCACCGTGCTCTGGGTGCTCATCTGCTCCCCTCCAGCACTCCAAGTAATGAATCCTGCAGGGTCCTGCAAGCTTTTTCCCAACCTTTTCCCAAGCTTTCAGCCCTGTGATCGCCTCATTTCCCCCACAATGAAGAGGGTGAGCCTGCAGCGTGGCCCTCTGCACGTCCTCTGCATGGGGCTGGAACGCAGATAAACATCTCCAAGCAGCACGCGGACCAAAGCCATCAAGCGAGGACGCAGAGATATCTCATCATCTCCCCTGGTGGGGCAGCTGATGCTCTTCCTCCAGCTCTCAGCCTTCTCTATCTCTCTCCATCTGCCGCTTCATGCTGGCCCAGCCTCGTATTTCTTGCCATCCCTTTTCTGTGGGGGCAGCGAGCTTTGCTTGCCACAAAGGAGATAACACTGGGCTGTTTCACTATAGCACAGACAGAGAATGAAGCAACAGGAAGGGAAAAAAATGTAGATGGGATGCAGCCCAAACTCACCCAGCCCTTGGTGCAATGTCTTTTGGTTCCAAAGGACCTCTCTCGTACGAGATGGGGGTTGTTAGGATGAGTGAGTTTTGTGAGTGCTGGCTGAGTTGGCACCAAAAGGCAGAAAAGGAAATTGTCTCAGTTTGGATGCTAATTTAGTTATTTGTGGTGGGGGTAGAAAAATTAGTCAGCTTGCTGTAATGTGTCGCTATATTTAACGATCTTTTTAGGCTGCTTTCCCTTAATTGTGTATCTTGTGGTCATTGCTGGAAGGAAGAGGCTCCCAGTGATAGGATGAGAGGTGATGGCCTCCCATTGCACCGAGGGGGTCAGGTTGGGTGTTAGGAACAGTTTCTCCTCTGGGAAAGTGGTGATGCATTGGCACGGGCTGCCCAGCCAGGTGCTGGGCCAGCATCCCTGGGGGGTGTTCAAGAAACTGCAGAGATGTGGCACCTGGGGACGTGGGGTGGGTTGGGGTTGGACTGGATGGTCTGGGACGTCTTAGTGATTCCCTATGAAAGCGCAGAGCCCCAAGACTGACCTCTCTGGCTTGCTTTCTTTCCAAGACATCCCCATGTCTCTGCCCATCCAGTGCACAGAGGACGCTTGGACAGAGGGAGGGGAGCAGCCAGCAGCCAGCCCCCAGGTGCACCCCAAGGCCCCGCAGGGCTCTGCCCACCCTCTGGCCCCACCAAATGCTGCCCACACACTGCCTGGTGCCAGTGGTTGGTACCCAGCTTGCAGTGACCTCGGGGCTGGGAGAGCCACCCTCCCAGGGGCTTTTGGCAGCAGCCAGGTGGGCAGAAAGGAGAAGATGCTGGTAGACACATGGCTGGAGGACTGTAGGATGACTCCTACCACCAGCAGCCCTGAGGAAGGAGCAAGAGCTTGCTGCAGCCCACAGGAATTCATGACACCGAGCAGCGAGGCTGAGCACTCCTTTCTGACTATCCTGGACCTCTATGAAGCCCCAGAAGCTCTTGGGAGGGAGGATGCTCCCAGCGACAGCGCTTTGTCTGCTGTAGAAAAGGTGCCAGTGGAAATCCGGGGACCTCTGAAGGTAAACATGAAGGGGTCAGAGGTTTCTGTCTGCTCTTCCCGGTGTGAGGGCACCTGTCCATCTCATCATCATCCTCTCCTTCATCCTTCCTGTAAGGTGGGGAGCCCTGAAACTGATTTCAAGTGGAGTCAGGTCCATGAAAACTCCATTCCAGCACCTGGTGTGCTTTGGGAGAAACCCAGTGACCCTTCCCAGCTGAGGGATCCTTGAGGCAGCCTGTATCGACCTCTGTTGGATCTGCAAATTAAATAAGCTCTGAATTGTTTCCTTCAGTCTCTCTGATTCATACGCTCCCAAACACGGATTCCAAATACATCCTGAGATGCATCCCCTCATTCTTGCTCAGCCTTCAGTGTGTGTTATGTGTGGGGCACCAACACTGGGCTGGCCACTGAGGGTCTCTGAAATGCCAAACTATTCTCCTTTAATTTCTTTTGCTAAATGAGACCCTTAGAAATTATTTCGTGGCTGCTGTGGTGATGCATCCGTGGGGAAAGCTATTGATTTTTGGCCTGGATTATATTTAGAAGCTGTTTTCTTCTTAAGAAGAAGAAGAAAGAAAGAAGTAGAAGCACTGTCTGTCTGCTGAAGTCCTAATGTGCCTTATCAGCACTCCGATGATAATGGCACAGGAGGAAATAAATGCTGCCCCCCATTTGGCTCCGTACAAAAGCACTTTTCTCACGCTCTGCCCCGGGGGAAACAACAGGCAATGGGGAGACCCTTCCGGGATCCTGCAGTGGATGCGGGGGGTCTGGGCGCTGCTGAGGGCTCGAGGAGAGGCTGTGTCTGCGTTCCCACTGATCGCTTTCCCCTTTGCTCCCTACAGACCTCCTGGACGCCGGGATGGATGCTGGAGGACGCCGCGCTTGGACCCGGCGCAGCTGCGGCTGCTCAGATGTGTGACATTTGCCAGGCGACCTTCCCTGCGGACACCGCAGCTCAGGCTGACTATTTAAAGCACGTCTTAACCCACATGAAGTAGGGCTTTAGGACTTTGTGCTCAGAAAGCCATGGGTGTGCAGCTGTGAGCGGCACAACGGGCTCCGGACCTGCGTGAGATGCGGCTGCTGGGGCAGCTCAGGCTGCAGTTCCGTTCTGTGCCACCCGGATCGGTTCCTGCTGTGCTGCCTGGGGGCTCAGCGGGGGTTCTGGGTGTGTTTCGGCTCATTGAGCTTCATGGGTATCAAAACTGCTTCTGTGCTGAGCTCCAGATGCGTGTAGGAGGTTTGGGGAGCTGCAGCTTAATGGGAAGTGGACGTTTTTTTCCAAAGTTCTCTGTAACTGGAAAATGTTGAATTTTTTTTTTTTTTTTTTTTTTTTCCTTGAATAGAGACATTTGAAAGCTGCATTGTTGCTTTTTCCAAGAACACAGGAGGGGGGATCACCATGTTTTCATGGCACTAAATCTGAACTCGCTTTTGGAGAGGGTGCCAGCACCGCATGCACGATGCCACCTACCCTGCAGCAATGCAAAGCTCCCATCCCTATGAGGGGCACAACTGAGACCCCTCCTCATTAAAACCCCATCAGCTCTGGCTCGTTAGCTCCTGGGAGTTTAATTGCTATCCGGGTGGGAGGAGGCTGCTCGAAGCCCATAGATGTGGGGTGGGCTGATGGGTGTAGGGAACAGCAGAACAGGAAGGAGTTCCTGCCGTGCAGCAGTCAGGTGGGCACATGGTGTTATTCTGCCATATCCCTTCTATCTGGAGAGCCATCTGCAAACCCAGAATGAAGATTGCACTCTTCCATTAACAGCACACGTGATGCTGCTATTCTATAATGCTTTCTCTCAATACGCACCCATGAGCTTTGTGGAGGAATTCACCTGCAGAGCTGAGGAAACAGCAGGGCAAAACGCCAATTAGCTCCAAATCATTGAGTTTTGTTCTTTTTCTTTCCTTTGGAAAAGCCTTATCTCAGACCTTTACGCTTAACAAGTAGCTCTGAAACGGATCTGGCATCGCATCTCTGAGGCAAGTTGCATCTAAATCAAAGTCCGATGTCTCTGCTTCCATGGATCAAGATTAATTCCCGTCTCCAGCTCCAGAATCTCATCTTTAGCAGCACAGATAACAGCAATGACTCGAGGCTCTTCCCAGAAGCGTAGCTGCATTATGAAGCAGTGCAGCTGACGACGAACATCTGTGTGTCCCGAGGGCAGGGACTGACTTGCACGGGGCAGCACTGGGTCCTGGCAGTTTGGCATTTGCAGATTTGGGGTTTGCGGTCTGGGAACCATTTTCCAGCATGGAGCCCTCAGCTCTCTTGGAGCTGCATCTCTGGGCTCAGTTCCTTCCATGCAGATTCTGGAGCTGCTCCTCACCCTGAGCATGGACAAGACCTTGACTTGGTTGGGGTTTCTTATAGTGCAGTCTTCCAGTTGGCATCTCCAACAGCTCCAAGCTGCCTCCTGTGGCTCCCTGATTTAATTAGGCAGTGGCATAATTCTATGGTGTTTTCTGCTCTTCTATAGGGCCTGGAAGAAAATATCAGTTTGCAGCTTGCAGAGTTACTAGAAGCACCAGCTCTGGCAGCGCTCTGCATCAAGAAGGGCCATAAATTCATTTGGCATAATATTGTAACAGCCATCCAGAATTTGCCAGAAGGAAGAAAACCAACCCAGTTCCTCCTGCTCTGAGAGCAAGTCCAATAAATTTAATTTAAGAACTGTGAGCACAGATGGCTTTTCTCAAGAGTCAAAGCAGTCGTGGCAGAGGGCCGACTTCTGTGAGATGCGTTTTGTGATGAGATGCAGGTGTGTTTGCATGGCACGGTTCAAATTAACAGGAATAGTGTGAGTGTAGAGCCCTACACCCAAAGAGGGACAACTGCATGCAACGGTGCAGGTCAAGGGCTGAGCTGCTGGAAGGGAGCTCCGTGGAGAAGGACCTGTGGGTCCTGGTGGCTGACAGGGTGATTGTGAGCCAGCAGTGTGCCCTGGTGGCCAAGATGGCCAATGGTGGCCAACAGGTTGACCAAGGGTTGGCCACGAACCTGCAGTGTGCCCTGGTGGCCAAGATGGCCAGTGGTATTCTGGTTGACCAACAGCTGACCAGCAATTGACCAACCATTGACTATGGGCCAGCAGTGTGCCTTGGTGGTGGAGAGGGCCAGTGGTAGATGAGTGGTTGACCAGCAGTGGACAAATGGTTGACCAACAGTTGACCAAAGATGGACCTCAAGCCAACAGTGTTCCCTGGAGGCCAAGAAGGCACACTGTTGGCTGCACAGAGCATGGCCAGCAGGGCAGGGAGGTGCTCCTCCCCTCTGCTCTGCACTGGAGAGGTTTTGGGATTGTGTGACAAATCACTCTGGGCTCGTTTAGGGTCACCCAGACCTCGAGTTTTGGTGTGATGCTCTGCCTGTGCTCCTTTCCTGGTGACTCAGGCTGGGGCTGAGCTGTAGAGGTTCTGCCACCATCTAACTTCACTGCATGAACTTTCTCAACGTGCTTCGTTGTATTTTTAGATGTTGAGTTGTACGGTGCAATTAGTCACCCCCCTCCCAGCCAGATGGTCCACGGTGACACAGGAGTTTCTTTTTTTAATCCCACACTTTCCATTGGTGTGAGCATGTTTCTGCTTCCCAAATAACCTTAAGTATAGGGTGTTTGTTTTAGCTGCAGGGTGGGCGGTGTTATTGTTTTCCCCAGGTCTGCTCACCGGGTCTGCAGTGTTGTCATTTCTGGAAAGGAATGGCAGATTGGTGGCAGTTTCCAGTAAGGAGAAATTGGAAAAATCAAGGCTGGATTGGAAAATCAAGCAGAATTACGCCTGTTTTATTTCTTGCTGCTGGGTGCAATGCCTTGGGTTGGGGGTGAGCGCGTCCTCCTGTGGCTCTTGGTTTCAAAGCAGGGCTGGGTGAAGGCGATGCCACCATTTCCCAATGGAAACCAAACTTTGAAACTGCAGCTGGAAAACAGATCAGGGTGGGAAACGTCCAGTTGTTGGGTTTTCTAATGAAGAATACTGGGCTGTGGGGAGGGAAAAGGGGACACGGGCGTCCTGGCCAAGCGCAATCATCCACACGCTCCAGTATCAGAAACATTACGACCACATTTTTACAGGACCCAAAAGCAATCAGGATCCCACCAGACACAGGAGGGGGAATGCAATACCTCTAATGGGGAATGTGGTGAAATATTTACATTTCCTCCATCAGCAGCAATATTTCTTGAAGGAAGGAAGCTGCACTTATGCCCAATCCCCCCCCCCAGCTGTTCCCCATCCCCAGGGGAAGGGGTTCACCACCCCACAACCCACAGCAGGAACACACCTGCGCTTCCAGAGAGGGTAGGAAACTGCTACTGTCTCTGTTAATTAATAACTGATCCTCTGTTTACATCTCCCATTAATAGAAGAGAAATGTTTTCCTTATCCCAGACACGAGCTCAAGGAGTCTGAAGCTGGGACACGGAACAAAGGGCGTTTCCAATCACATAATAACATCAGAGCATTACCACCAGCAGAGTGTTACTGTGAGGGCTGAGAGCCGTGTCTTGGGCAGGGGATTTGGGAAGGGGCTTTTGACTTTAGGATTTGCCACTGAAAATAAAGCAGGGAGCAGCAAAAGGGAGTAACAGTGCAGTCCCTGCAGCAGGGTGAGCCTTGGGTGTGATTGCAGGATCTTTTAGGGCTTGGATTCCCTTGAAAACACTGCATTTGGGGATCGTGGAGGATGTCAAGCTCCCAAAACATTTGGGGAAAAGCAGTTTTTAAGGTTTTTAAAAAAGCAGTTTTTAAGCCAACACTTCTGCAAAATGCCCATCAGAGGGGGAAGTGTCTGCCAGCCCTCTGTGCTTCTGACCACTTTCTGCTGGGGAAATGGGGCCTCCAGGGGGGACTGGTCCTGTCCCTGGGGGATGAAGGGAGTGTTGGGGGTGGTAAGTTGAGGGGAGGATGCTGAAGGAGACCAGGAAGGGGCAGGGAGCTGGGCATGAGGATGGAGGGCCAACAGAGGGTGAGGATGGAAGGGGGGAGGGGGATGCTTGGAGGGAGACTGGGGGTGATTCTTAGGGGAGCTTGGGGGATGCTGGAGGGGGAGCAGAGTGATACTGGAAAGGGAATTATGCTGGAGGGGATTCAGGGGGTGATGCTGTGGGAACGATGCTGGAGGTGGGGTGATGCTGGAGATGGGGGTGATGTTGGAGGGGAATTGGAGGTGATGTTAGAAAGGTGGTGAAGCTGAGGTGAAATTCAGGCGATGCTGGAGGTGGGGGTGATGCTACAGAGGGGGTGATGTTGGAGGGGAATTGTGGGGTGATGCAGGAGAGGAGGTGGTGCTGAGGAGGAATTGAGGGTGATGCTGCACAGGGGTGAATTGGGGGATGATGCTGGAGAGGAGGTTGATGCTGAGGGTGGTGATGGTGTGGGGCTGAAGCTGGAGGGAGCAGGGGGGGGTGCTGTCTGAGTGCTGTGGGGCTGCTGCAGAAGGGGTGGGGGGCAGGAAGGGAATTGCTGGGGACACAGAGACATGGGGGTGCTGATGATGGGGGCCTCGAGGGGCGATGCCGGGGAGCGTAGGGGCCGTGCCGAAGGGGATCTATGCGGGGGGAAGAAGGGAGGCTGTCAGCTGCCCCCCCAGTGTCCCCCCGATGCTCCCCCAACGGGCTCTGCCTCCTTCCCCCGCCCCCTCCCGGCCCTGGGCGGGGTCTGTTCCCGCTCCGGAGATGGTGGAGCCGATGTGAGCGGATCGGGGTGCAGAGCGGCTGCGGCCCCCCCTGGCCCCGAGCCCCGGGGGGAGCCCGGCCCCCCCACCAGCCCAGCTATGCCCGCGGGCAGCACCGAACCCGATGGCATCCTCAGCTATCAGGTGGGGGGTGCATGGGGGGGGGGTACCCGGTGCGGCCGGAGGATGCTCTGTGGCTGCTCACTGCGGCATTTCCAGCGGCGGGGGGAGGGGGGGGGAGAGGATGCAGGATGCGGGGCATGCAGGGCGTCTGCTAGGTTGGGGGCAATGTGTCTGCAAAGAGGGGGATGTGCGATTGGTCTGCAGTGGGGGTTGCAAGGGATGGGGAGGGAATCTGTAAAATGAGGCATAAGGGACGAGTGGAGGGGAGGGGGGGGGGGG